TTAGAGAAAGGATTAAGCAGATACATTCAGCTATTCTAACAGATTTTCTTTAAACCTTGAATACGCCTCTCACACTCGGTAAGATAATCACATTAGTTTTGTCATTAAAAGATCCCTTTTATAGAAAGTACCTAAACCGCTTAAACCACCCAGAGAGGTCGCATACATTAGAAAACAACAAGACAAACGGAAGGGATTTGCTATTCCTGGTCTCAGTGTTTCGCTGCCCCTACTTTCTAAGCTGGGGGATTGAACTAAAAGATTTTGCAAATCACCAGCAGAGGGGAAAGCCCCCGAGAGCTGGGCAGCAGCCACCCCCGCCCGCCCCGAGCAGCCCTCACTCCCCACCAAGCAAACACTTGGGTATAGCACTGGGGACTATGGAAAATACATTTTTCCAGTATGGAGATGCCCACGTTACACCCAAAACACCCCAACAGCCAGTTGGCAGCCAGATGTTCACATCTGGCACCCAAAACCCAAGTGCAAGATAAGCAACAGCTGGCATAGTTTATTACTGCCCTGGAGACCACAAATACGGGGTGCTCCATGCTAAAGGAGTACGTTCTCACTCTTCGCTGTTGTGGGCATTTGCTGTCTCTGCATTGTGCCCCAGGACCGCAGGGACCTCCAGCGTGGGGCTGCAGACGGGACAGACCATTTTAGTTTCTTAACTTGGACAGTCTTAAAGAAGCTGGATTTGTAAAGTCATTTTTCTAAGACCAAGGCTTTGGTTTAAAAACAAAGAGGCTAGATTATAGAAAACCTAGAGGCTACGGCGGTAACACCTTGTAATACACTAAACATCAACACCAACGACACTGTCACAGCAAATGACAGGGACAGGAGTGTAATGGGATTCAAAACAACCCCTCCAAGTGACCATTTATAAATTGTTCCCAGGGAGTAAAAATCACATACAGTTTCAACTTCAGAAAGATTTCTATTTTAAGGAACAGCTGCATATTTTGGAAGGATGAGATGTCTGTTACTCACCCAGCTCTGTGAGGACCTACATTACTGTTCCAACACAAGAAAAGTCTGTCCCCACGATGGTCTTTTAGTACAGGTAATCCCTTCAAGCTGGTCAAGGCTGTAAGTGCAAGTCTCATAATGTCACCAGTCTGAGCAGCTTCAGACATACTATTTTTAACTCAAACTACCATAGAAATCTTTCATTTTTTTCCTCTGAAGACATGGTTTCACAAACACAGACCCCAGTTACAGCACAACAATGATGTTGTCCTGAATCAACAGGGGAGAGCAAAAAATGTGAGCTTGGAGTATATGATCTCCTGGGTTCTTTCAAACCCAAGTTTTTGGGTCACTCCTTAGAGAATGGATTCACAACAGCTAAATACCCTTTTTAAGAGCAGAGGTAGGAAAAAAAAATCCCTTTATTTAAAGCATGCTGACATCTGTCTGCAACATATTTGGTGGGCAGACAATATGGAAGACAGACTTTATTCTCACTTTGCATACACTTTTCATGTATTTAGAAAGCATGTTCCAGGTTCCTGGAGAGGCTTTTCCTTTCTATAGCCTCCTTTGCTGATGCAATATTTGATGATCTTCAAAGTTAAAATTACCTACAAACCCACCAAGCTGCAGAAGCTATTTAGCTCCCTCCCAAGACTCTGCAGCCTTAGCCCTGCCCGAGTCACCCTTTGGGCTACACAGCCCAATTAAAACCTCTGCTTGCCAGGTCAGGGAGCGTTACAGATCCGTCTGCACAACCTTCATCGTCACTGACATGCAGGAAGTGCATGTTTGCTTGGGACTGGAATAAGCTTTCAAAACCAAAATGGATTTTTCCCCATTACAGCTAGCTTGATTGCCTCCAACGTGGTCACCTACAGAGACCAACCAGTTCACACACCTGTTCCTCACCAGGCAGCTAAACCTCTGAAATGAGAAACTACCAAATAAGTGCAGGCTCATCATCTGACATCGTGACTGTGTGCATAACTTCAGGATTACCTTCACTAGTTTTCCTCCCACTCCAAAGTCAAGCACAAACAAGACAATGTTATTTGCAGAACTCCAAATCTGCCAAGGGATGAAAATGCATGTCCTTGCAAAACAAAATCCAGTTCCAGAAACTCACATTTCATTATTTTAATGCTTTTTTATTGCTACAAACTGCAGTTTCACCAGTAAGATTCATGCTTTGGGCAAATAATTCATTCTTTTTCCCCTGCGTTTTCCCCAATGAGTAGGAAACATACATTTTTAAATTCCAATCATTCATGACACATACCAAGGAAATACATAAGCCTTTGTTGAACTATGGCCCATCATCATATACCTGGAAAGATAAATCAGCCATTTCCCACAGCCCATTCTGTTCTTTCCTGCATGAAACAAGCAGGCGAGGTAACATTTAGATGAGGTAGCCAAACACCACAGGCAGTCCCTCAGTAGCGTGCAGAGATATGTACACAGATTTTAAGATGAAGTCTGAATGTTTAAGGTAAAGACCACCTAAATTTTCAACTACTCAACTGGAGGGGCGGAAAAAACTAAAAAGGAAGAACAATTAAAAATAACAGAAAGCCAGTCACCTAATTCATAAGCTGGTCCAAGCAGTAAGAACCTGATCCACAGTGCACTAGAATCAGTGTCTCACAGACAGAAACTGAAAGGAATAGTAAAATTAAAAAACAAACAAAACCCCCAAGCCCCAAAACACTGAACAATTTGTTTTTAAATACAATTTCTCAAAATTCAAAGTGGCAGTTTGTTTTGGGGTTTTTTTTTAAAGTTACCTTAAAGACAATTTTTTTCCTGCTTACGAAAGCAAAGGGCAGCGGGAATCAAAGTTTAGATTACTTACTCCAATCGAAACTACAAAATGTTTTCCAAATGACAAGCTGTTTCCTGAGACAGTAAGTTAGCTAGCAGGGGAGAGAGGGGAGACACAAGCTGATTACTATGTATTACTATATACACTGGCTGTTAATTTGGACCATTCACAGCCCATTGCATGAGCATCCTGACATCCTTCTCCATACAAGGTGGAAGTGTTTTTCCCAGAATTTGCACTTGGAGCAGCACCCTGAGCAATCAGTGCGAGCAGCTGGTCCAGGCTCTTGCTTGCAGTTACAAACCATTCACAACCCCCCAAAATTTATATTTACTCTTGCAGATTCCACTCCTTGCCTTGCCATACATCAGTTAACATGTAAGAAGATACAATGGTATTTCTAAAAACTTGACTGTAACTCACTTGATTAGAAAACAATAATTTTTATTTGTTTCAAAAACTTCAAGGCCACCATGTCATAATAAAGTACACAAGCAAGAGACTGGAGTATATTTACAGGAGAGTATGAAAAATTGGAACTATTGGGAAAGGGATTGCCAACAGTTGTCAGTCAGCAGCTTTCAGGCAAGTTCTACAAGGCTATTCCTTTTTGCCCCTGTGGTTCTTCTCTAGTCTTGTTCCCTATAGTCTCTTACGTAATTACCTTGTCCAAGAGCATGAGACATTCAGATTGCAGAGGCCGAACATAAATGCCATGTTTAACACAAGACGAGGGAATGCCAGGAACTCTATTGGAAAGAAGATGCACAGGAGTGTTTCAAAAGATAAAATTTCAGTGTTGGGTTCGCTTTGTTCCCAGAGGATGGGAGGAGACTGGAAACAGAAAAGGCCACCTGGTGTCTTCGGAAAATACTCAACTATCAGGCGTATGATCAAAGCTGAGAAAACTTTTCAACAGAATTGGAATTTTAAGAGTCTGGGGACAAGAAGCCTTGCCCGAGTCTTTCTGAAACGGAGTTGTCCTTTAAACTGCAAAGAATCCTTTCTGAAGAAGGGCTTCAGTGTGAATGAAGCCAAAGCTGGAAAACGAGGGGACTGCCCCAGCCATTTATTAATGTCAAATATGCTGTCTCATGAATCAGGGCAGTTTGTCTGTTTTGGAAGCCTTACAGAAAGCCCACTGCACCTGGCTTGTTGAGCTCAGCATCAGGCTTTAGGCTGATCCAAGAGGATAGCTGCATTCTCTGTTTTGAATAGTTTGTCCCGCAAACAATTTTTTTAAAAAGGCTTTTATGGAAGAGCCATCAGCAAACAGATCAGGCAGAATTTGAACAATACACAGAATGGGGGGGAGGAGGGAACCCACACAAGGCACAGCCCCAATTATTTGTCACTTCATAAGATCTAGCCAACACAAGTGTCACATTTGCTCTTCAAGAGAACAGCTTCGAAAGCTTCCTGATTTGAAAAAGCTAAGTGTTTGTGGGGGATACACACATACACAAAATATACCGAGTTTTCTTTGGCAACCATTGTCACAGTGGCAGATATTTCAGGATTAGGACAAACAGCAAAGGAAGAAACAAAACCCTGATGCGGATTGTGCATGCTCAGCCAGTTATCAGCAGAGTCCGGGGCCCAGCCCTGACCATTCAGTACAGCGCAAAATGGAAAAGCCACCTCAGGCAGTTTTGATTAATAAGCTGCCAGAAAACTAAGGAAAAAAAAAAGAAAGATATTTACTTCTTTTCCAGCATTGATTCAAAGGATAAGGGCTGTTCAGTTTCTTTACAAATGGCACAGCCAGTTTCCCTATCCCTTCCCTACCTCTCCACCAAACGTCACAGTAAGACGTGATTTCTGTTCCCCCACTATCTCCATGTCCCTGCCCTGACAGTTTACAGCAGCTGAGGATGTCTGAAATTCAACCCCAGGACTGAATCCCAGGCAGCAGGAGTTTCATCATCAACAGCACTGCTGTTTAATCCACTGTATACACCAGCAGTCAGGACAATCACCTAGCACAGCGAGGAAGGCATCAAGCCTGGAACAGGAACTCTTTACTTTATGGTAAAGGATGGCATTTGAGAAGAACAGAAGAGGAAAGCAAGCCAGAGCAGGCAGCTCAATCCATGCACTTTGACTAAAGTTTACTATCTGACAATGCTCTCCATCTGTCTGCTGCCTGCTTCTCCCATGGGCACAAGCAATGGTTAGCACTGCAACACAGGTGAGGAAACAGGAGTGAAATGTTCAGACAACTGTGCGATAAGGCCTGGCCCTGCTCCTGACAAAGCCAACACAGGTAAAATGGCCACAGTTGTTGCAGCACTACTTCAGTGCCTGTGCCTTTTCAATCCACTGCTTCATGTAGCAGATTTCCAAGGCTCGAGCTTGCCGCACAGATTTGGGGTCCAAAGGGTTGCGGCTGCGTAGGTCCAGGTGATGGGCTCCATCCGGGATCACAATTGCCACAAGGGAATCGGTGATGTTCTGGGTCACGCCACCTGCGGACCACGGGTCCAGGCCACCATTGCTGTAAGGGAAGAATACCTCGTTAGGGTACATCTGCACAGCAGTCAGGCTGCAGCTCAAATCATCATATCCACATTGACTTTCAACTAGTTTGTTGTATGTACAGACAGAAACAGACCTCAACCCTGTCTCAATGTCTTTGCCCATCCCTGGGCTGAGAGGAGCCTTCTTGACAGAGGTACAGAGCTATTGGCTGCTTAAGCAAGGCTACACTTCTGTCATCAATTATCTGCTAATTCATAGAATCATAGAACAGTTTGGGTTGGAAGGGACCTTTAGAGGTCATCTAGCCCAACCCCCTGCAGTGAGCAGGGACAGCTTTAACCAGATCAGGTTGCTCAGAGCCCCGTCCAACCTGACCTTGAATGTTGCCAGGGATGGGGCCTCTACCACCTCTCTGGGCAACCTGTGCCAGTGCTTGACCACCCTCATTGTAAAAAGTTTCTTCCTTATATCCAGTCTAAATCTATTCTTTAGTTTAAATCCATTACTCCTTGTCCTGCCACAACAGGCCTTGCTAAAAAGATTCTCCCCATCCCTCCTATAAGCCCCCTTTAAGTACTGGAAGGCCGCACTAAGGTCTCCCTGCAGCCTTCTGTTCTCCAGGCTGAACAACCCCAACTCCCTCAGCCTGGCCTCATAGGAGAGGTGCTCCAGCCCTTGGATCATTTTTGTGGCCCTCCTCTGGACCCGCTCCAGCAGGTCCATGTCCTTCTTGTGCTGAGGGCCCCAGAGCTGGACATATAACAACCTATAACAGTGCCACAGCCCCTGGAGATAGACCTGCTGCCACCTGTCATTGTCATAAAAGGTTTGGGTTTGCCTGTACCAACACACATCCAAATTCCCAAATCACAAAACTTTGCTTTCCATCCTCACAGTCTGCCATAAACTAATAACCAAGTGAACTCTTCAGAGCTGAATTTTCAGGAAGTTTACCTTTTGCTGTCTCAGCTGTGTGCCAGCCTGGTTTTGCAAAGAAATGCTTGGACCTTCCATTAGTCCTTTATTTCTCATAACAACCATATTAAAATAAAGCTTTTATTCCTCAAGAAACTGCCTAAAATGACTCTTCCTCTGTGACAGGACAATTTAATGCAATCTACTCCCCCTCCTCATTCACCCCTGATCAATGAAAGGATTCCTTGCACTGTGGATCTGGCTCCAAATAATGCCTGGTCCACGGAGCAAGCCAATGGCTGAACTGGGGTGAGACTTTGCATCTCATTCCTAGCTTTGGACTTGACCCAGTAATCCCTACTATATCTTATTTTCTTTTACTGCAATGTTCTTTCCACATGTGGTCCATCTTTCTGCACAAAGAAATCAACATCCGTATACTTGTGGAACTACACAAATCTGGGTCTGTTCCTCACTTAAAACACTGGACCTGCCCACAAAACAGAACATTAGAGATGGGCTATTGCATGTCAGTGTAGATTTTTAGGAGGATCTAAGAAACTAAAACATGCTTGGACATTAAGAGATATGCAGCTAGAAAAATACCACAATGGCAGCACCCGAAAATAACAGAAAGAAAGAGTGAAAAATAGTTTTTTGTAGAAATAACTAAGAGCAAAAACCTCATGGGGTCTGAACTAATACTTTATTTGTCTCTCCTCTGAAAAAAAAAAAAAACCAAAGTATATTGAATCTCTGTAGTTCTTTATTTTCAGTGATTCTAAATATGACTCAGGAGAAGAGAAACATTTTCTATCTGCCAAACAAAAAGCATACAGAGCTGCCCAATAAGCAAAAAGCATTGGATTTAAAAGGTCGCCTGAATCAGCAGAGCACCTTGGCAACAGGGGGATGAGTTGCTGAGAGACCCAAGATGTACGTGGACTTGGATCTTTTGGTCCCAGTCATGTGGAAACCAAGCATGCCACAAGAAAACAGCACTGTCTCCGGCTTCTCTGAGAGCTTCTGGCTGTGTCCTCTGTGGCTCCTGCCAAATGATGGCACCAGAGGCACTGATGCAGTCTGGGAAGTGATACTTGCTGGGAGGAGGGCAGGGTAGAGAGCTCACCACAAAATAATAAGTCTTAACAGTTTTACAGAATAAGATAATTCATTGCCAACTGGAATGGATTCTTTATGTGTTAACACTAAGCATGCATGTAAGCACTCAGTTGCTCATCTTACAGGACAGGAGTTCCCCAGTGTAAACAGAAGTAGTAAAAGAAAAGAAAGAACAAAAAAGGTCAGCCATCCCTTTCTAGCAGTGACCAGGCAAGTAGGGCTTCAGAAAAAAAAAACAAACAATGCAACATATCAGCAAGCTAGTCCTGTTTTCAATTAATTGTATTTCCTTGACAGCATAAATAGGATCCTGCCTATCCCACAGCAAACGGCTCCCTTTCCTGTCATCTCTTCAGAGCCTACTCAGCCCTCCAGCCCTGCCCAAAACAAGGCGAGGTTTTACACAATCTTAGCAGCACTGCCTGTGCATCCTTTTTGGCACGTCCACTCTCCACAACTGCGAAGTTTCCTTTTCTTAACTTTTTCTCTCACCTTTTCTCTTCAGCCAGGCATTTTTCTGCCTTCTCGTCTTTTTCTCCATTCCCTTCTTTTATGCTAACAATCCCCCCTTCTGCACACACCTCCAGTATCTCTCAAAACAGAGCCTTCCCCTTCTGCCGCTCCCCTGCCAGTACAGAAGTGGATGGATGGGTGGGTGCCCTAACATAGAAGCATACAACCCAGGTGTGATCCATACAGATTGAAAAATACCAATTTTTAGACTGCGCATGCTGAATTCCATACTGTCTAATATAACCTGGGCTGATTTTGACTACCACAGTGTGCTGCTGATGAGACACTACAAACTGCTACAAGCTCTCTGCCACTACACGCATGAACAGTGTTAAGATGCTGTTTCCACCACTCTGCAGCACTTCCACAGCAAGTACAGAGCATGTTCCAGTAAAAGTATCAGGAGTGGAAACTGCTGGAAGAGAAAAGGGCAAACAGGGTTCTGAAAACCCTGATTTCCTCAAACTAGTGTTTTAGTAAAGATGTGTTGCCCAGGACAGGCAAGTAATATCTGCCTACAGTCTAAGTAAGCTCCCACACGCTAATTACATACCTCCAAGAAGGTACCAGAGTGGCAGTGGAGATTCCTGCATCGACACCATACCATACATACAACACAGCATGAATCTTCAGCGTGATGCACTGCTCGCAGAGGAAGAAGCAGCAACACCAGTTCGAGCATCCTGGCCAAATCCCACTGTGGCTGGATAAATCCACCCTCCAGTGGTTCTCTTTAGATGAAGTATTCTTCCCTTCCTGCGCTAAACTGTTGTGTAAGTTTCCTGACACTTGAAACACAGTGCTTTTTACGCCACAGGGAGCCACATCCCCTGGTAAACATAGGGATATTTTTTGTAAAGCACTCTGTAGCGTTCGAGGATAAAAGGCTCTTATATAAAATGTACAGTGTTGACAATGTATTTGTTTGAAAAGAAACAACCCAGCTTGATATCCAAAGCTTTGTGTACAGCACTACTTCTTCATTCATGTGGTTGCTTTCAAGCTTTTCTCATTTCAAGCTCCTTCAGCTGGCATAAATTCTTAAACACTTAGACTTGTTTGCTCGTCTATTGCTTTACAAAGCAGATTTCTACTGTACAGAGCTGTGAAGCCTTGGAAATAAGCAACTCTCTGCAGAAATTAAGTTAAATCAACAAATTTTTTTTTAATAAAGTTTTCCAAAAAAGGGTGGAGTTTCTCACTCTAGAGCAGATACCCTACTGTGACAGAAACAGCAAGAGACAAGCAAGAGGAAAGCAACAGGCCTTTGGAGCCAAACAGACCACTCCGAACAGCTGAAATCTAGAGAATACTCCCCAATTCGAGTGAGGACTTTCTACTTTTAAAATATACACCTATTTACCAAGTCCAACAGACTAATTCCGAGTTTTGTTTAAAGAAGTGACAGGGGTTTTTTGTTTGTTTTTTTTAAAAGGCCTTGCACAATTTTAACCAGAGCAGAGCAGAACATATATCCAGGAGCTGCCCGCAGTGGGCAATCAGTACAGCAAGTCAGAACTCCTGAAGCACAGGCTTCAATGGGTTCATTAAATGCCTCCCTACCACTTAACAACCTAATGAACAGCCAGCCCTTAGCTATTCAAACTTTTCTATCACCTCACAGCAGAAGTACAGCTACATGAACCTCCCTTTAAAGGAGGCAGAGTTTAACCTTAAAAATATGGAAACTGAAGACTGAGTAGAGAGCAAGCAGCATGCACTAGTTTTTGTACTAGACTGAAACATTTTTTCACTTTTTGTCCACGTACAAAGATGTTTCAGACAAACTGCTGTGGTATTACTAGTATGCCTTGATAGAATGAAAACATCTCTTTTTATTTGGATCTTACACAAGTTTGTTGAAACTTGTCTAACTAGCACTAGAAAAGGGCAATTGGCAGTGATGGGAAAGCTCCCCGAGTAACTTCCCTCTCTTTTCTGTATCAAAGGGAAAAAGGAACATCACGCCAGTCCCTCAGCAAGGCTATCACCCAGAGCAACAATTTTAGTGACCGAGATCCTGTGTTATAGCTAGAGCTTGTTTAGACTTGCCTTTTATGTGGAAGAGACAGTGCTTTGGCTTCATAAAAGCTAGATGGATTTACCAGCATGGGAAACCTGGACTTTGGCCACAAGATAAGAAGGAATCCACATGGGAAGAAAATTACATTTGGCAGAATCCCAACCCAGATTCTTCTTTTAGAGTCGCACAGGCAGTGACAAAACAGTTGACTTCTTTGGCCACTGCAGATTGACCATTTTACTCTCAAGAGCATGCAAAAGATGGGCAAAGCATGCCCATCATTTGATTCAGCTGGAGCATTGGAGACAGATCATTTTGCTACTTCAAGCAGGCTCTCTACACTGACAACACAAACTGGTGGAAGACTTCACTCTAGAAGCTGAAACAAGGCCCACCTGAAGACGATGTTGCTGTGTGAACTGATGTTTTTCCCTCCATACATAGAAAGAATCCAAGAAGGGCGAGGCCTCACTCCCCACAGCCTGTAACACTCTTCTGAAAGTGCATCAAAGTCCCATTTCTGAGGCTCGAACATGTCATTGACACCATCTGTGCACATGGGCATCACCATCTCAGTGCAAGCCTGAAAGAAAGAGCAGGGCAACAAGATATAGTCCCAGGAGACTGTCCTATAGCGGTTAGTGCAGTATTTAAATAAAAAAGCTCAAACAATTTGATCAGTAGTTACTGTCAAACTACCATAGAACTGTTTAGGTTGGAAAAGACCTTTAAGATCATCC